GTGTGTGTGTGTGTGTTTTGTGTATGTGTATGTTTGTGTGTCTGTGTGTCTGTGTGTGTATGTCTGTGTGTCTGTGTGTCTGTGTGTTTTTGAGTGCTTGTGCTTCCATTCCGCAATATCATACACCACCGTACTCACACGCACGCACGTACGCACGTACGCACGCACTCACTCGCACAGTTGACAGAGGTTACGCTGCCTGCGGAACTGGAACGCTACACGCGCGCGTGCCTGAGCCACGTGCTTGGTGTGATGGGTGAGGACCTGAGCATGCGCGTATCGGTGCTGCAGGCGCACCTGCGTCACCACGCCGACCCGGCACAAGTGTTTGAGAACATGGCTGATCACATTGACGCTGTGGAGAGGGGCGAGGCAGATGCTGACGCACACAAGGAACAGGCATGATGGTGATTGGCGAGAGGAATTGACGTAACGAGGGCTTGTCACTCGCGTCGACGTTGGAGCACAACCTGCTTCTTTGCTGTCTGATGCTGAGACGGAGTGGTGTTATGCACACTGTACTGTTGTCGATCGAATAGAACTAGCCATATACCGCAGCGCTCACTTGAGCAAGATGCAAGCCACGCGTCCAGCACGTGTTGAGAGAGGGGGGAGGGAGCAAGCATCAACACACACACACACACTCACTCACTGACGCTCACGCACTTACAACATTGCGCACTCACTCACTCACTCACTCACTCACTCACTCACTCACTCACTTACACTCACTCACTCACTCACTCACTCACTCACTCACACACACACACACTCACTCACTCACTCACTCACACACTCACTGACGCTCACGCACTTACAACATTGCGCACTCACTCACTCACTCACTCACACACACACACACACTCACTCACTCACTCACTCACTCACTCACTCACACACACACACACACTCACTCACTCACTCACTCACACACTCACTGACGCTCACGCACTTACAACATTGCGCACTCACTCACTCACTCACTCACACACTCACTCACTCACTCACTCACTCACTCACTCACTCACTCACTCACACACACACACACACACTCACTCACTCACTCACTCACACACTCACTGACGCTCACGCACTTACAACATTGCGCACTCACTCACTCACTCACTCACACACTCACTCACTCACTCACTCACTCACTCACTCACTCACTCACTCACTCACACACACACACACACACACACACACACACACACACACACACACGCACACACACAGCTATTGAGATGCCCGCGTGAGCCAAGGTGGCGGATCCACCACTTGTGCTCGGCCCGTTTCCTTTGACTTCACCAGGAGCCCTCCATCCAGCCAGTGTGCCAGCAGCTGTTGTTGGTGGCGACGCTGCTGATATCCATCGCGCTGGCGTCCGCGGGACGAGGATGGCGCTGTTGCTGCAGGCGTGACAATATGCGAGCGGGGATCGTCACGAAGAAACCGCTGCGCTTCCGATGTGCGACCGCAGATGATGCCGCAACCAAAGTCCCGCTGGGCAGCAGCGATGCGGCGCATGAGGTGGGCGATGAGCTGCTGCGTGCCCTGCGTGCCATGCATGCTGCGGCATTGCCAGTAGAACGCATCCAGTTCCTCAATCACAACGATGCCGACGTCAGGATACATGTCCAGCACAGCCCAAAGGCCCTCAATTGCCCCGATGAGCTGGTGGATGTCGGCGCAGTCGACGACGTGGATCCGCTCGAGCGCCGCGCTCACCATCTCCTCACGCTGCTGATGGTCGACAGGCTGGTCCCCGCCGTCGCCACCCCGAGTGGCGGTGCTCCACTGTAGCAGCTCTGGACTTTCACGATGTAGCACTTCGGCAATGGTCGCTGCGTCGAGGTGGCCCCGCGTTTGGATGATGAGGGCTCCTGGTGGCGGCGGTCTCTGGCGATGCTGCTGTCGCTGCCGTGTTGATGACGATTCCGGTGACGGCGGGCTTCCTTGCGAATCGCCAAGGTTGGCAGCAAGAAGCACGGCGAGCAAGCTTGTGCGGGAATATGTGTTCTGTACAATGACATCAATCCACGAACACACGGCGACGCTCCTCCTGTGCTGCTGCCCTGTCGCCAACAGGAAAGGCAGCCGCAGTGCAGGCACCCGCCGACCGCGCGCAAACAACTGCAACATATTGGTGCGAGCGCACGTAGCGAAGGCAGCGTGAGACAAACACGACAGTGCGGCACACAAGGAAAGGTGATGGGCCCGCGTGCATGCGTACACAGACCGACTGTTGCGTTTCACTGCTCTCCCTCACCTGTGCTGCCGTCTCTGTCTCGCCCAGTGATCGTAGCACCGCCAATCCGTCCACTGCCACCACCACTGCCGCGCCACTTCCACTCCTGCCGCCATCTTCTTGTGGGCTTCCTTCCATTGTGCATGTTTTCGTGTGTCGTGTCGTCGAAGAAGTGTGTGTGTGTGTGTGTCTGTGTGTCTGTGTGTCTGTGTGTGTGTGTGTGTGTGTGTGTGTGTCTGTGTGTCTGTGTGTGTGTGTGTGTGTGTGTGTGTGTGTGTGTGTGTGTGTGTGTGTGTGTGTGTGTGTGTGTCTGTGTGTGTCTGTGTCAGTGTGTGTCTGTGTGTGTGTGTGTGTGTGTGTGTGTGTGTCTGTGTGTGTGTCTGTGTGTGTATGTGTGTGTGTGTGTATCTGTATCTGTGTCTGTGTCTGTGTCTCTATCAGTGTCTGTCTGTCTGTATGTCTGTCTACCTCCCTCTTTCTTCCTGTCTACCTCCCTCTTTCCCCCTCTGTCTTCCTCTGTCTGCCTGCCTCTATACTGTCGCAGCGCATGCACAAGAAACGCCCTCTGATACACTATTTGCGACCCCAAAACGCAAGCAAGTCCCCAACAAGCACAACAGCCGTCACACTGCCGTTCCTCAA